GAAAACAAACTCATTTGACAATGATATACTTACAAGGAAAGCCTAGCAGATCCAATCAATTCATTTTTCTATTGAATATCCTGCTTTGCTCAGAAATACATATTATGAAAGTAAAAAAAGGTTATGAACAGCAATTCCCTTTTAACTAATTTTTTTGTGAAAAAAACAAACACTGGTTTTGCTTGCTTGATTAAGAGGCTTCCATTGTAAGTGCATTACTGTAAATGCAGTTTTTTTTTAAACTGTAACATTGCTTGGGAGAAGCAGATAAGATAGATGTAGATAAAAAGTTCTTAAAAATATCATTTCAGTAGGGTTTGTCACAAGCAAACCCCTCTCTCCCTGCCCTGACTCTCAGAGTGTAAGATAAAGAGTTGCAACTCTATATATGAAGTTTTTTCTGCATTGTTTGCATTTGCATTTCAGATATCAGCAGTCATTTCTGCTTCATTCAAGTATACTCTGTGTTTCTTTAATGTCACTGATCTTATGTTACGGTCCGTTATGGTAGAAAGAAATTGATCCTTTGAGGAATGGATTTGCAGCCCTGTGCAGAGAAGAGTTTCTCCTCTTTAGGAACGTACAGCATGGCTTTAGCCACTTCATCCAGCGTCCCCTCATCCGGCTGAAGGCCTCGAGCTGCGTATGCATCACGTGCACACAGTTTCACATGCCGGTACTCCAGCGGCAAGAATGGTACAAAGAAGTCAATCAGATGTCCTGACATGAGCTCGCTCTGAGCAAAACCTCCTGCAAAGGTAAAAAGTAAATTGAGAACACGAATTATAACATTTATAGTGAAAACCACAGACTAAAGACATATAGGTGCATGTATATATGAATTTAAATATGCAACATCTCGGAGACATTTGTCAAACATTTAGCAATTAGATTTAAAAGAATGTTATGATATGGTTGACTGTGTGCTGGTACCTTCTGCCTCCATGGCTTCAGCACGCAGAAGATGTTCTAAGTCTTCCATGCCGATATCTTCCCTATTCTGTCCTGAGTGCCAGAAATCCAGTGCCACCTCATTGATGGCACCACCACCGATATTGCTAAAGCATGACATTAAGGAAACAGCAATTAATTTTTAGTTTTTTAATTGGATCATTTTCAGATTCTGCATGCATTCTGTAGAGTAAACTTACAGTGTATGTATAGAGGAAAACATTGCTTAAGAACTCCAACACAAATGGGTTCACTTGACAACTTATGGCTGTATGAAGCCATCTGTTAAGAACATACCAACCTTAAGAACAGAAATATGGCTTTCCTATAGCTGACCCCATCCACATTATCATAGTGGTCCATATAGGGCTTTATGGCGTCGATGAGTCCTGGATGAAGCTTTTCTGCCTCATCAAAGATAAAGAGAGTCTGTGGGCATCGTAGGACCATGTCTCGAATGGCTTCTCTTAGCTGGCCCTGGTCGCAAACAAACTCACACAAATACTAATACTGATCGTAAAGTTCAGGATTCACTAACACATACGTGCATACTTCAGAATTTGGAAAGAAATCAATCAATTGTACACGGTGTCATTTCTCTGTTCGCTGAATCAGGTTTTCTAACTGAACTATCCAAGTATATCAAGGTTAAATTGCATAATCATACCAAAGCTTTGGCATTTAATGGCAGTCGTCCAATAAATGTTCCCGAGAAGCCCAAATAAAGTGATTGTATTGGACGCCTGCCTACGTGAACTGCATTGGATTTAGTTTTTTCAAGCTAAATACATCCAAGCAGATGAATTATAGTACAAATAGCAAATATTATACTAATGTGTAACATTACAATGTAACCAAATACTTATAATTCGTTTGTAAAAGGTAAACTAAATCAACAAATGAAGGCTGAATCAGATCAAATGACCTGGGCAGCCATGTGGATGTTAACCATTGAAACTTTGCTCACCTTGTACACATCCACCAATCTCTCGTGAGAGAAGTGGAAAGGGGCAATGAACAAACGCACACATTCACTCTTTATACCATCCCGGTACAGGTTGTCCGCTACTATCCGGGCCACAAAGTTCTTGCCTGTTCCAGACCAGCCATGAAAGGACAGAGTCAGTGGTTTGTTGGACTCAGGGTTTTTGATGAAGCCTTGAATGGCTTTCAGAATCACAGACTGGGCCAGGTGCTGCCCATGGAGCTTCATCTGTAGATCTCTTTCCAATCCTGAAATATTCATTGATAAGCGCATGTCAAGGAAAAAAAAAAAAAAAAAAGAGAAATTCATTTCAATAAATGTTCAGACTATTCCATGATTTTTGTTCAAATTTTCTGATATTTCAAGAATTTCCACGATTGTAAAATATTTGTATTAAATAATGTATGCATGATGTTGATGGCTGGCTCTACCTGTGATATTATTTGTAATCCTACAGTCTCCTGAATCACAGCACTGACCCAGGCTGCAGTACCAAGCAGTCAGCATGCTAGTGTAGTATTGGGGAAACCCTGACCAAATGTCCCCAGTAGGCACTGAGAAGAGAAGCGTTACATAAGCCTGCAGTGAGTTAAATTACAAACGCCATTTTTTTTTTGCCATTCTTTAAGGAGAGACTCGGAAAAGTTTATCCAAATCAACTTAAAATGCATTATTTTAAGGAGAGACTCGGAAAAGTTTATCCAAATCAACTTAAAACGCATTATTTTTTATTATCATTAACCATATACATTTCATTATTAATAATCCGTTCACAGATTATAATATAATTTATACATTATTGTTTGAATTTTTAAAAAACGAATTCATGAAAATATAGTTTGCAGAAAAAAATAACGCGACACGTTGGTTATCCATTCCAATTTTACATTTTATGTAGAATATATTTGTGTGTTTATATTATCATTATAAACATTTTACTATAGCATATATTAAAATATATCTTTATTTATATATATATATATATATATATATATATATATATATATAATATAGAGCCTATTCTATCTTTACCTTGTTGGGTCGCATCATCTTGGTGTGGTTGACAGTCTCCTTCCCAAATATTGCAATAGATGTAATTGAAATAATAGGTAGAAACATTTGAAATGCTGTCGAACTGGAAAAAATCCGCATCAGCCGAAACAGCCAGGAATGAGAGCAAGATTACGATTGAAAACATCGGTGCCGCCGGAAACATAGATCTCGCAAAGACTGTAACATTGAGCTAGCCTATTAGATGTAATAATTGTAGCGTCCATTCATATGTACATCCAAGACTCATTGAGTGCAGGCCGCATAAGCGCTCAATGCTCGGAACTGAAACCCGACGTCACTGTCCTCTTTGGAATAGAATGAGCGGATAGACTAAAACGGTGTAGAAAATGGGCAGGGTTTAGCGCAGTAAAAACTTTTTTTTTTTAAATTTTGTTGCATCACCAAACCAAAGGCTATTAAAAATTAGAACTACTAAAATTCAAACATTAAATATCCTAGTCATTTAGATTTAACGTCGATGAAGAAGCACAGACGTTGTCATGTGGCAACAGCTCATTGACCAATCGCAAAGAACTTTATGGGAGGTAGAATTTACATAAGGCATCACCGCTCCTGTAGACCCGATGATTGCTACTGAACCGTAAATCTTTCAAAATCAGGCAAACTAAGTGTAAATGCTCAGTCCCATAAAGATGCTGCTATTCCAAATACTGAGAATGTGGCACTTACTGTGGAAACCCATTTCCGACAATGAATTATGCTTCAGTAAATCTTAAATCAAAATGATTAAACATGGAAAAATGACAAAACGTCAAGAAACAACTTTTAAGATGTCAACTTACAAGTCCTGTCGCGACTTAAGTCAGTTTTGAGCTGCAAGGGACATGTAAGAAATTGGCTTCCATAGCTTAGGTTTAATTAATCAGTGCTCAACATTAAAGGGGTCATATGATGCGATTTCAAGTTTTCCTTTCTCTTTGGAGTGTTACAAGCTGATTGTGCATAGATAAGATCCCTTTAGTTGTAAAGACTAAAGTCTCAAAACCAAAGAGATATTCTTTATCAAAGTTAAGACTCTGCCACGCCCCCCTAAAACGGCTCGTTCTAACACGCCCCCACATATCTAGGTCACTATGTGGGAGTATTTGCATAATGCGCCCAAACGTGCATGCAAAGGAGGAAGGCGTGGTTTCAGTAACCGCAGTTAGTGTTGAACCAGCCCTGTGTGTTTCTAGGCGAAAGCAAAAGCACTTTATTTGGCCTTCCAGAAGTAGATGCATTTAGGAATCTTTAAGATCACTTACAACAGAACAGCAATGCATTTTATGGACGACCGTTTCGTGAACCTAGGACAGGTGGTAATGCCGACTTTGCCATGACAATCTGGCGCTTCTGAATCAGCTACTGTTTTGTTATTAGTTTAAGTATTTGCTATTGACTGTTCAAATGCGGAGTTTTGCGCATCGTGTGTGTGAGAGAGAGCGAGAGAGAGACACACAGTAGTCAGCCGTCTTAACTGCGCTTGTGTACTGCATCATTACGGTGTCTGTCAGGCGACTGTTCCCCTTTCGGGCTTGAACTGATGGTAAAACTAATGACATTTACTGTCTTTACATTTATTTTGAAAGATGAAGCTCGTGATTGTGGTAAGGGGCGTTACATTTCCGAAGAGTGCTTGCGGAGTTCGGCCAATCACAATGCACTGGGTCAGCTGGCCAATCAGAGTAGACTGCATGTCGGAAGGAGGGACTTTGTAGAAAACGAAGCGTTTGAGAGAGGCGGGGCATATAGGACCTACAATAATGTACAGTATTTGAAAAATAAATGTTTTTTTTTCAACATTAAAGCATGTGAACATATTCTGTTACACCAAATAATGATCTTTAAAAAAAAAAAAAATATAAAAGCATCATATGACCCCTTTAAAAGTATAAAAGTCATATTGCATGCTACCAAGTGCCTGAAAGGCCTGTTAATTAGTAATTGATAAAGTCAATTAACCAACCCACAAATACAATCATACATCAAACACCTTAACTTCAGACACACCTTTGATTTTACGACTTTATTGAAGTAATGACACCTCAAACTTGACAGTTGTAACAACGTAGTTGACAGCTTTGAAAAGGTCACTTAAATGCTCAAAAAAAAAAAAAAGACGACCAGTGACTTCAAATCAGAAAGCGATTAAAGAATCGAAGCTCCCTCTGGAGCATCATTCAGAGGAGTCAGATGCAGGTAAAACGGTTCTACAAGAGAAGAAAAAATAAATACATTTTAGAAGAGCACAAGTGCAAATATTAAGGTTAAAGTAGTGTAAAGTCAACCTCAGATATATGGAACGGTAAAAGGATATAATCAGCAGATTCATTTGGCAGAATCATGTCATCACAGGTTGTAAGAAAAACAAAGAAAACATGGTCACAATCATACCTTATACCATATGGTTTTTCCAGAGCCATCCTGGATAATCTTGAGCTCCCTAAAAAGAGACTGCCATTGGTTAGTTGGTCACAATCAACACGTTGCCCCAATCCAGGACCTGGGTTCAAGTCAAAGCCGGTCCACATTGTGTGTTCAGGTCAAACATTTGGAAAGCACCACAAAACCCAACTACAAAAGATACTGGAAAGTCTGCAAACAAAAACCAACCTTAAACACATGCCGCATTCATATTCACATGGCACAAAGGAGCAGTCACCACCACACCTGTCAATAAGCACACCCAACGGTTAGAACAGAAAACATCCATGAGGACCAGGATTTTAACATGTGACCTGATCAGCCAGAGCTAATATCCAACCTCCATGGCAAAAGTCAGTGGATATCAGATTCATCACAAATGGTCAGAGCTACAGATTTACAACTACAAAAGGAATACAATACTTACAGTGACTGCCATCAGCACATCATGCTCGTCATCAGTCCTAAGAAAGACAAAAGGATAAATTAAACTCACCGTCCCACTTTTAAGGAGTTAAACGCACAATTACGTGGTCTTAAGTCAGAATGTTTTAACATGTCCTCAAAAAGATCAGAGACCTGATTCAAACTCATCAGTTTGAGACCACCTTGGTACCAGTCACAGCCAGGGATGTTCATTTTACTGTATAACGGTTAACCAACCGTAAGAATTTTGACCGATTAATACAATCAGTTAAACGGTTTATAAAAAAAAAAAATAATAAAAAAAATGTTTTGCTGCATGGTTAAAATACACTACGCATATATAAAAAAAAAAAATGCATCATTTCATTCAGAAATATAGGCCTAATGCCGACGCAAAGTTTACAAACATTGTAATAAACACTAAACATAACTAGGCTATTTTATTTCCCTCACTCAACAAATCCTTTCAATTAACAGCATTTAGAAGACAACAATTAAAAATAAGCTATAGCAATATAAACGACAACCCAAAACGAATTTAGGCTAAAACGAAACTGAAACCAACGTTGGGTCTCATTCCACACAAAATCAAATGTTTCCGTATTCACAATATTTTAATGTCAAGTTATTCATCACGTACTTCACTCGCGTTCCAATATCCACTTAAAACAATGTTTGGCATAACATCACGGCGGTACTGTGGTAACCCTTAATGGCACAGATTTTACTACATAGTTTTTTTTTTTTTTCCATGTTTGACTGGCTGCATTTTATTATGATAAAGAACAGGCTGCATTGTCAAGGTAGCAATGCTTAACTGGGCGCACCGGAGCAAACACTTGAATTTTGTCCTTCGAACAGTGGAAGCAACTACTCCTTTTAGTCATAAAGATAATCAGAATTGTAAAAGATTTGCCTTTGTGTACATTCACAATAGCAAATCTTTGTGCTTTTGTAAAAGCCTAAAGAAAAATAGGATGCCGCTTTGTCGTCCGTTTCCTTTCACGCAGCACAAAATTGAACCGAAACTCTGCATACTAGGCTACTTGTTGCACGGTTTCTCTCATTTTCTTTATTCAAGTAAAAATATTTCTCGTATAGGCCCATTTAATAATAATAATAAATATATATATATATATATATATATATGCTCAGACACTTAGCCTTTCTA